CTTTCTTGCCACTTTTGAGAGCAGCGTGGGATAAGGTCCAAAGAGAGACTAGTCCTGCATGAAGTGAGCTTGGACAAGTTATGTTTTAGACCACAGGGATTCTGGGAGTTGAAATTCAAAAAAGTATTCCTCCCCCTAAGCTCTGTACATGAAGAAAGGGTTGCTGCTACCATTCTAGCATTACTTCAAAAGACAGCAACTTCAGCACAGTTGGATGCATAACAGCTGCTCAAACAGAATCATTTTTCATTGCTGTGTTTGCATACTTAATGCTGTACAAGAGAAAGGGAAGACTGGTATTAGCAAACATCACAGCTGGGCACAGAGCCTGGAAAAGTTACTTTTTTGACTACCAGTCCCAGAATTCACCATTCTAAGAACTGCAGACCAAAAAGGGAATTGTTTCCAAGGGTGCATCTGCACTGTAGAAATAATGCCATTTGACACCACTTTAAGTACTCTGGCTCAATCCTATAGACTCCTGGGATTTATAGTTTTACAATGTCTTTAGCTCTCTCTGCCAGACTGCTGATGCCTCACAAAACTGCAGATCCCAGGATTCTGTAGAATGGGGCCATAGCAGTTAATGTTGCATCAAACTGCATTATTTCAACAGTGTAGATGCATCTATGGACCTTACAACTGATCAGAGATGCCTTGTTGACATATTTCATGAAGCACACCAAACTAGATAATTTTCACGAGTTCCACAAAATGGTGGCATATTTATCACCAAATAAGAAGAAAAGTAGGATGACAAAAGAAGACACAAATTTGCATAAAATTTGCATGTGCTGATTCACACACTTATTTAGAACTAACTCCTGTCACTTAAAGAGAAATTATATCTCATTAATCCTCTCTCATGTGGAGGGAAGAATGTAAACAGGTAACCTGCTTCTGAAATGGCAGTTCAAATGGCTGACAACTTCTCCTTTTTCTTCTTTTTCTTGAGATGAGTGTTTCAGGAACACTAGTTGATTCTTTCCAGTGAAATTGAAATTTCAAAGGTAGATGCAGCATCTTGGGGAAAAAAGATGTTGCTAGGGCAAGGAAATGAAAAGATGCAGCTCCAGTGGGAAAAACACAATTTGACATATAAGACTGTGTGTTCAAGAGCCAGAGAGATAGAGAGATTAAGGGTAGTTGGTGGGAACACTCACTAAACCCCACCTGACAATTGTTCTGAAGAATTCTTAGAAGCTGGATGATGTCAAATATTTTTAATTTGTGTACTTATGTACATGTATTTGGGGTGGGTGGGGAGACTCTATTCATCCACCCTAATGAAAAAAACATTTTGATGGATCTCAGAATGCTTAGAATGCTGTTTTTAAAGCAACTGATGATCTAACAGCAAGCTACAGATTTTAGAAACAAGTCTGTGCCATTTTTATTTTTAAATTATGAAACCCAGTAATTGTAATAAATGTCAAACTAAAATAAGCAAGCACTGTGGTCTTTTTCAGCAGGAAAGTGATTCCACCCAGTAAGATCTGATTAGGGTAGGAATGTAACCACAGCAAATAATTCATTTAGTTGCAGGTGGAATACTGGACTGGGAGTTGTCCAGCAAGCAAAGAAATGGGGAGAGGGAGGGGGATCATAGCTCAGTGGCAAAGCATAGGCTTGGTATGCAGATGTTCCCAGTCCCAATTGTAGAAACATGTGTGCTGCCCAGTCCATACCATTCTTATCTAACAAAATACAAGTGGGGCTCACCCTGAATATACATAGATGATGTAAACCTGAAACATGATGGGATTGGATCCAGACTAACTCAGCCTGGGTTTGCACAGGCCAGAATACTCCACAAACAGCCCAGAGTAGTCTGGCCCCAAAGCTCCTCTAATGTTCCTGCATTATCTTGGGCACTTCATTGCAATGCCGGGCAACTGTTTGTATATGTGTCCAGCTGTGCTGTGCTGCTCACTGCCACTGGTGCAAATCTCTCACTTTGAGGTCAGAACAAGGCATCCAGTATTGATCAGATATGGCTGACCTCAGAGTAAGTGACTCACATCGGTGGAGATGGACCAGGCAGCACAGTGAAATTCATTATAAACAGCTGCCCAGTATTGCAATGGAGGGCTTGGATCTGGAGGATCTGGAGCAAAATATTCTCTTTTAAAAACCACTGTAAGGGTGGTATACCTTGAGTTCAGTGCTGAACTGCTCATATGTCATCTGGACAGTTTGCACCAGAATCATGGATTGGGCCCTGTATTGGTTGGACTGATTGCCATGGGAATTGGGGGAGGGGAGGATATTTCATTTGGCCCATGTGGACAGGGTCCTTGTCATGTTTTCATCCCACTGAAATTGATTTGCTGGCTTTCAATTTCCAATAAAATCACTAAAAAGCATTCAGTCTCTAAGGACATGGCAAATTGCTTGGTTTGGATAGTGGATGGAGAGGAGTTGTAGATTAGAGGCATCTGGCTCATAACTGCACTGTTGCTACCAGGCCACCCATCATCGTCTCACTCTGGTTGAAGCACCATCAGGGTGTTAGTCACCCTTCACCCATAGCTATCACACTACTGCAACTATCCTTTGCTCCCCCACTTGCAGCAATGGTCCTTCTCCTCCATCTTATCACCACTGCCCAAATGCCCACTCCACAACCCCCTGTGTATGCCCAGATGCCCACTGCCAGCCTGCCAGCCAGCCACATAACTTCAGCATCTGTTTGCTCACCCATTGCTGTTTACTTCTTTGGTATGTACTGCAGACAGGAAATGACTGGCAGGGCTCTCCTCCAGAGAGTATCCTGTGAATTCTTCTAAAGGAATGGTCCTTGCAACAAAGTAGAATTAAAGATGGAATATACTTGCAAGTGTATTTGCTGCTGTTATGGCAAAGCACCAGAAATGTAGGCATCCAAAGCATCACTCTGAAGATGGAAATCCAACTCCACTTCCTCAGAACAAGGCATTATAAAACAGGATCACCCAGACAACAATTGCTAATGTATCAGCAGCGACACACACACACACAAACAGAGGGACAAAAAGCCAAAATTATTATTATTATACACTCAATTTTCAAATGCACTCTCATTTCTTTTCCTCTAGGAGCCCAGACCAGCTGCATCTTCCTCCTCTGAATTGCCTCCTTCCACCTACCATGAGTAAGGAGCAGACACAGTAACTCCTCTGTGGCTTGAAAGGTTAAGAGGGTAGGGAAGAGGACATGGAAATGTATAGGCAGAATGTAAGCTGCTCCTGTTTGATCTAGGGTCTTGGCCACAGTCCAACAAAGTAGCATCTCCAATCCCTGGTTACAAGTTATATACATAAATGAATAAAGTTTAAAATATTTTTCAAACAAAGAATGCTTTGAAGTTCAAACAAAATTATATCAGATAAATTGCACAGAAAATGTATGGTTCTGGAGCTGAGAGTGTGTGACTTGCCCAAGGTCATCCTATAGATTTCCATGGCCAAACGAGGAATCGAACCCTGATCCAATGTCATTGGAGTCATAATCCAATGCTCAAACCACTACATCATGCCAGCACTCAACTTCTATACTTAAAGAAATAAATAATATTTGAAATATTCTTGAAACAACAAATGCTTTGAAACGCAAACAAAATTATATTGAATAAATTGCATGGAAAAACTATGGTACAGTCCTGTATCTACTTATGCAGTTAATGTGATGGGGTTTACTTCTGAGGAGATATGTTTAGGGTTACAAACATGTGCACACTGACATATTTTATTCCTTGGAATCAGAGAGTGTCCCTATGTAAACAGGAAGAAATCGTAAATAATCTTAATGACTTTTTAAAAATGTAAATTCAATCTAATAGAATGTCCATATTAATCTCTGCCAACATATTTCTCTTTTACTCCTTCAGAGTTGGAATTCTAACTCCCACTTGCATTTA